TATATATATATATATATATAATATAAGAGTTTGTTAAATTAATAACCTTTTTAAAGTGTATCAAATTTTAATTAATAAAAAAAATATTATTCATTAGAAAACATACTTTAAACATAAAAAATAATTTTATAACTTTTTTTTAATTTAAAATTAAAAATTAAAAAATCAAAAATTATTCAAATATTTTTAATCTTAAAATTTAGAATCAATAATATATAAAAATATTTTTTTCAAACAGAAACGTAAATTAGCAAACATATATACTTTATATAGACATAAAAGAAATACTATAATTATTTTTATTTTTATTTTCAAGCACTATAAATTATTTTTTAGACAAAAAATGTTAACCTGTTTAAAATAATGGAAAATGAATTTTTTTTAATGTTTTGTCAAATGAAATAACAATATTTTTTTATCATAAAAATATATTTTTTACATTTTTCCAAACTCATCTCTTTTAATAGTTTTTTAGTATTTCTTAACTGTCTTCGTTATATTTAGGTTTAATCCTTTTCGACATCCCTATTTATGTACGAATGTCTCAATTGGGTCCTCGTTTTTTAAAGTGTATCAAAATGGTCCCTAATTTTGAAAATTGATATCAATTGAGTCCTTTCAGTTAAGTTGGCTGGACGGCGTTAAAAAAATTGATGAGTGGATGCTGAGATGACGAACGAACGCTCGTCCACCAGCGAACGAACGCTCGTCCACCAGCGAACGAACGCTCGTCCACCAGCGAACGAACGCTCGTCCACCAGAGAACGAACGCTCGTCGACCTCTTACTGCTGGACGACCGTTCGTTCCACACTGGACGATCGTTCGTTCGGTGGTCGACGAACGTTCGTTCGCTGGTGGACGAGCGTTCGTTCGTCATATCAGCATCCACTCATCAATTTTTTTAACGCCGTCCAGCCAACTTAACGGAAAGGACTCAATTGATATCAATTTTCAAAATTAAGGACCATTTTGATACTCTTTAGAAAACGAGGACCCAATTGAGACATTCATACATAAATAGGGATGTCGAAAAGGATTAAACCTTATATTTATTTTCAAATCAATCCTAAATAATTAAACTGGGTTTGCTTTGAAATTAAGTCAAATCAAATCCAGCCTAATCTAACAACATCCCCTACTAATTGGGTGAGGTTTTGTATACTTAATATGAGATTTAACGAAATTCACAAAAGAAAATATTGAATAATATTAATAATAATACTATTATATTATTTTACTAATTATATGCATATTTTTTAATGTTAAATTATTCAACTCTTCAAATATTCAATATAATATAATCCATTTTAAATAAATTATTCTAAAAATATAACAAAAAAAATGGTTTTCAAATTACAACTTTTATAAAAAAATATTCAATTAATTCAATTTAATCCAAGTCAGTAAAGAGAAAGTTGGATTAGATTGATGTAATAAAAAAAATACGTTAATCTCACTTAATAGAACCTAATATTTTGTTATTTAACTAGGTGATAGATTTGTTCATAGAAACTCATTCTATTCTATTATTCATGAAAAACCTTATCTTGCGAATTTATTATTAAATAAGTGTAACATTTTGAATGTCTTTATCTTTAGAATAGGAAGGAAGGCTACATGTTCTTGTAGAGTTGAATATATTGTAGAGTTGAATATATAATGTAAAAATTTTGAAATTATCCTAGGAATATAGTTGTTTTTCAATTTAAATATTGAAGAAGCACAACAAAATAAACAAAAAAAGAATGTAGAATAAGAAAAGCATGGAAACCTCATAATCTAACAAATTGATAAGTTAAGTGAAGATTCGACACAAATATGTTAATTTTTTATAAGGATGAGAGTTATAATTCAAATGCAAATGCATGTAATATGACTTACCGAGCAAATTTAACATTTTTAAAATCAAAATAACATTACAATTTATTTAATTTCCTAAATTATTCTTCAATTGCTTTGATAATCTTCATGTTCTTTAAGTTTTCTCCATTATAAGGTTCAAGGGACATGTTTTGATCTTTGAACTTGTCATAGATCTTTTGGATTGCAAAATGATCTTCCTTAAAGTGGAGAACAAATGAACAAATAGAGCAAGAATAACAAAGTGTGGTGTCGCGGGTTGCTTTTAATTAACTTATAACTCTTTTTGGATTCGAATATAAGAAAAAGATGAAAACAAATAAGATAAAAAAGAAGAATTCAAAAAATGATAAAAGATTTTGTTCTAATTTAATTGAATCTAGTACAAAAAGAATACATGGATCTGAAACTATATTTCGTTTCAAATGGTTAGTATTATAGTTATTTTTAAGTATCTTCTTATGATATTGTTGCCCCAACCTATCCATGAATCTAAGAAATAGCGAAAATTCTTGATTTCTTTCGATATCTCTCTCAGTTCAAAAATTCAAGATTTGAAATGATTTCCTTTCATCAAATTCTATGTTTTTTTTTCATTATTTTAATAATATTTTTATATGATGATAAATGATTGTACTTTAAAATAACAGCCTAAATGAAATATTATAGTACATAAGAATGTATAATATGAATGTTTTTTGAAATATTAGTAATGCATTAATACATCTCAAACTTAAACTCCTTGATTTTGCAACTAGAAAGGAAAGATAAATGATGAAAATATTAAATCGAGATTAAAAGCTAAAGAATACTTTCAATTAGGCTGTTTTTTTTTTGCTGTTCTAAATAATACTTTTTAATGTTATTCAAATCTCAAAACTAATTTTGATGAATTAGTCAATATAATTTTGTTATTAAGATCAGTTCTGTGTTTGATTAAAATTAAGGAGATGAAAAGTTAGTGAAGAATGAGACGGCACGTGGTGTGATGGAAACAACATCGAATTGCTTAAAAGCCAACATTGGAAAATGTAAATATAATTAATAAATAATAAGTTGACAGTGCTCTTTAGAAAATCTTCTTGTTATCTTTTGTGGTGGTAATGAGAAGACACTGTGAATGACAGTGGAAGGTAACAAGAGGAGTAATATGTTTCCTTTCCTTGGCAGCTTTGGAAGAGGTATCTTTGCCATTTCTCCTTCCTACAGATTCGAAAGAACCCTAATCACATAAACAAGGGAAAATAATAACTCAATGTTTATGTCATAAGATAAACATGTTTTGATTGTAGCAACAATATCCATTGTGATAAAGAAAAGGTAAAAGCGACAAAATAAAAACAGAAAATCTTTTTCTCTGCCATCTTATTCATAACGTTGGTCATATAAAAACTCCGGCGTGGGATAACACATGTCCCTTATAATAACAGAAAAGACAGAGATACAGTTTATCAAGTTAGTCAAACGTAATCCATAAACTTTCTACATTTAAAAATCTTCCTAATGGGCCTTCTCGAACTCAGCCCAATACCATATTGGTCTGAGAGTTGCGCTCACCATCATCCCAAGTACTCCCTACATTTCTCCATTATTTTTTTTATTCCAAAAGTATTTTACATTAATTTAATTTTTAGGTTTAATACCAAATTTTGTTCTCAATTTGATTGACAAATCTCAATTTAGTCTCTCGTTAAAAAAGTATTTAAAATGGATCCTTACTTATAAATTTTTGAGTTAAATTAGTCCCTTCCGTTAAATATAAACAAACGGAGTTAATGGAACGATGATGTGGCAGTAGTTAGTGGTTACGTGTCAAAATATAATTGTGTGCGTGCTTACATGTGGGTTAATTAGAGAAGAAAGATTTTAAGAAATTAGGTTTTTTTTAATTGGGGATAAATTGCCAATTAGGGTTTTTAACTAATTTTGTGCAATATAGGTGAAGAAGAA